TAAAGCTCTGGTGCCAAGGTTTTGCTTCCAAAGAGCTAATTTATGACTAGAAGGATATTTTATGTCTTCAGTTGCAGCAGCTACAAAACTCAGCAAATCAGAACCATCTGTGCACTGATACTTGAATCACCATTCATCTCGCAGCCGATCAGTCACATTAGTTTGCATCCTGCATTCTTGGCTCACGTACACTTGTGATGGTCCAAAGTTCACCAGAAATATTAGGAATGAACAGGACCCTGACCCTGCCTTATTGCCCACGTAGCTGAGACAGGAGCAGGGCTCTTGCATACAGGGAGTTTCCAGGCAGAGGTATGACGGGACTGACATTTCACAGCAAGTCCAGTAAGACTGTTAATTACCTCCATCTCCCTTTATTAAAGCACAGCTTTATTAATCACATAGTTTCGGACTTCAAAGCACAAGAGGACAATAGAACACGATAGCTGTCGCTTTGCCGTTCGGTGTCAGCGCTTCACATAGAATAATGCCTCCTCCCCATCAGTGGCTGCAGGAGGGTGAAGGCAAATGACAAAGAACAGTTTGAAAGGGAGAAAATGAATTAAATGCTTTCACTAATAAAGGTAACTTTGCTTTTAATCTGGAGCGAGGGAAAAACCTGGCATTCAGGCTTGTCTTCAAGATGTTAGTGAACAAAGTCCTTGACTTCCCCATTATCCTGAAAGTAAATCATTCTCCACAGACCTACTGCTTTGAAGAGAGAGGCTGTAGGTCAAAAGGACTCATGACAGTTCTTCCTCCTTAAGGGTTGACATCCCACATTTTAGCAGAGCCAGGGGAAACAGGAATTAACAAACATGGTGTATTTAAGGCAAGAGAACTGCTGTGTCAGTCTCATTTTGAGATCTTAAACTATTTCCTCTCCTACAAAAGAAAAGGCAACAATCAAACAGGAGATGTCAGAAATAATCCCAGAACTGCCTGACTTACTTTGCACACTTCAGGAGCCGTGTGATTCCCCGTGCAAGCTGCAGTGGAAAATTCCAGAGGGCCATCGTAGTGAATTCCACTTGACTCCAGCCCATCCAGCAGGATTTTCTTGAGCACTTGATACTCTGGCTTCTCATCATAAGCTAAGCCATAAACACATGTCAGAAACTTGCAGAGTTCACCTGTGGAGCATATTTTAATGTAGAGTTCACTTGGTGAGGACTTAGAACTTCAGAAAGAATTTCATGCCAAAATGGATGCAAATCCTACACTGAAACGAGATGACACAGTTTCAGCTGCAGCCACGCTCAGAACACAGACCTTGCAATATCTGGTCTTCTTTGGAAGAGACTTGGATAAGCAACATAACCCTTATGGATAAACAAGGAAACCCTTAAGGGCCATGTCTTGGCATGTACTAATTTGTGTAGCACCAAAAGCTGTCCAAGTATAAAAATTAATCAAAATACTTCATCAATATTGATAGTTGTATGTAAAATAGAAGCATTTTATATTTGATAGATCATAATATCCCTTTAAATATTAACTACTGTCAACAGCACTTTTCATCTGCATAGATACTGTACTTCAAATGCGTTGGAAATAAAGCAGGTTTTGGTTTTTCTAATACTTGGACAAATAGTGGTTTTGAGATTGCATCCTAAAGCAGAAGCATTATTTTGCTGTCATTACTGAGTGGTTCTAGAAAGGGAAATAATGCTGCTAGGAAAAACAGACAGGGGGGAATCAAACTTTTCTTTCAGTTGCCTCCTAAGACTGGAGAACTACACCAGGTATTAGCATCCGGTAAATCCCAGAAGGAAAGATTCATTAAATGTGTATGCACATCATGGATGTATTTTATGTAATACATGATGTGTTCCAATAATTCCAATACAGATATGCTGAGAAAGTAACTGAATAAATCACAAAGAGACATTGACCTTTGGAGGAAGTTTGGGTTTTTTCCTGGGCCACTTCTGTATTTCAGTGAAGGAAGAACAAGACAAACCATCCGTTCACTTGCTTTTTCAAACTCTGAATACTGAGCAACAAACCTTTTGCAGACAGTTGCTTACTATTTCCATACTAAGAGCCACTTCTGTTTCTGAGATAGGCACTGCTTCCTCACACCTTGGATTACACCTGGCTGAGATCCCTTATGTCACTCTGCGGCACACACCACACATGAGACCGATGAAGCTCCTTATACTACCTTATGCTAGGACTGAAAACACAGCCCTCAAAGCCTATTTCATCTCCTCAGTGCTTGTTTATGGGATAATGCAGGAAAGCAGCAGAAAAAGAGTTCCTGTGATAAAAGCATGAAGCATCCTGAGCATCCCCTATCAGTAAGCATAAAGAACCACTTCTTGCATTCAACAGCAACCTGAAATTTACCTTCTCCCCTTGCAGTAAACAAACCTTTGAGCTAAAAATGCTCAGACTAATACAAGGGCCTGATCTGGTTCCAGTGAATTCAGAAATAGCAGTTCAATTAAACTGCACCCTGAATTAATCTAACCACGAGTATTACTTAACTTCTGTGTCATCAGTTAAATACAGATAGCGCAGGCTGAATCCTTCTCTTGGCTAGGTATGGCTAAGAGTGGTGCACACAAGCTTGATTGCAAGGGGTCGGTTCAAGGATGATTCTTGCACACAACAGTTTGCCCCAGGACTGGTCTGCCCGCCCGTACTGCACCAACTCAGCCTTTAAGGTGCAAAACTCTGCAACTGATTTAAGATTCCAAAGTGAAGACTTTGCTAACTTTGAGTTACTTTTACTCATCTTCTGCTTCCCCCAAACAGAGTAAGGCACTGAAGTAATTTCTGTAGCAGGCTAAAGAGCTGTGTGGTACATAGTGCAAGTACACTTACGACAGCTGCCTCCAGAAGAATCCCATTTCATCACTGAATCTGGGAGCTCATCCATAAGTCTGAAACAACAGGAGAATGCAACAATTTAATGTGGTTTTGGAGCAGGTGATTCTTCATTTGCGATTTAGGAAGACAGCAAGTCTCAATTCCAAAGGGAGTGGACCTCCAGGATAGCTAATGATTCACGGTGCTGCTTTTAAAACAAAATCTCCTCTTACCAGCTATGTTTTTAACTCTTTGGAGACTGCTGATTTCACCAAGATTGGATTACAGTCAAGTCTGCACTTTAACAGGAAGTTTCTCTTTGCAGATGTTTTAAGCTTTGTAGACAGAAAAAGCAGCATCCTTTGAGCTGAAATGGTGTGTTCTGATTTCAGCTCAGTGATTAATATTGTATTTTGGAACTTAGGGGCAGTTCTGGTCTGCCTACACGTCAGTGGGCACCAGGTCCTTTCTGCCACGCAGCTCGTGGGTGACGGCTGTCACAACTACAAGCAGACATGGCAAAGGGGAGTGGGAGGTCAACTGACCTCCAGTCCCACGCACTTCATAACCCAAAGGGCAGGGCCACTGGTGTACCTTCTACCTAGCCAGGAACTGAAACAGCAAAGGAGGCTGGAGCTCGGAATCAAACACAACCTAAAAGCAGATGAAGTAACAGCAGCTCTCACCCTTATGCAGGCATGAACCAGGAGCATCTCCGAGGCCTCTGGGCACAAGTCCCCTTGCCCTGAGGAAGTGAAACCTGTCACTTGAGTCTAGCTGCTCATCCTGCTAAAGGATCCTTTTGTTTGTTTAAAGGAGCCATAAAGCTCCACCAATAACTTACAGGATGTGTTCTCTAATGCATGAAGTAGGGGTACACTGGTTAATATCTTCAGTTCAGTGATCTGTTGGTTAGTATCAGCAATAGGGGGCTCTGTTTTGGGGAAATGGAGTATTTAAACATTTTCCTGTAATCCACCCTAAATTTCAATTCAAACAGAGACCCTCCAATTATTGCATAGCACAAATATTTCTGCATTCAAATATACCAGCAGACCTTAAATACACCCCGAGTAATGCCCAAAGCTTTGGCACCATTGCCTCACTGCCCCAGCAGTACATGGAGGAGACTAAGAACTTGCAGTGAAGGGATGAGGGGATGAGACAACTGGTGAACACCAGCTGGAGGCCTTGCCCTGGTTCCTGCCTCTCACTGCATCCCAGGCCCAGCTCCTCTTCCTTACCATCACACATACTCCACAGTAAAGGGTTGGCATGCTCAGAAGCAACTCAGCTGTGCTGCTTAATGTACTTACTAACTTAGGAGCAACTGGATGCATACATATATATATATATATGTATCTATATATATATATATCTACTTCTGGCCTTTAAAAACAGTGTAAGCATTAAAAATGATGATAAATAAAAGGGGGTGACTTGGGCAAATGCCCTAATACTAAACCCCTAATAGATTAACAGGATATTTCTGATAAACAGAATCTCTGTCATTTTCTGTACATCTCCTGGAATCATCTGTTTGCCCAGCATCCTGAAAACAATAGGAACTTAAGGGTTAACCACAGGGGAAGAATTAGTGAAGCAGCTTGATTGATTAAATTGATTTAACATTGAATTGTGTAAGTGTTACCTTGCAGGGGGTTGTGTAATGATCAGAACTTCTAAAGGAGAAATATTAAACATAACATGGGATGTCAACATTTACAGATGCAATCTGTATTATCCACAGTCTGCAGGCTCACCTTTCTCTCTGCTGAGAGCCAGTGCCACACTGAATTTGCAGATTGATTTCTGTGGATCTGCTATCCCTATTGTGTACCTCTGTTGTGACTTGCCCTACTTAAAAGTTTGCTGCCTTCTCCAGTTGTGATGTTACACTTACGGGTAACTACTCTTCTGTGTTGCCTTCGCCAGGCTGCACTGTACCACATGTAATTAACTCTCTCAAGTCCCAACTTTGAAAGCAGAGAAAGGAAAAACTACTACACTACGTTGCTTTAGTAAGCTCTGAGTCATGCTGGGACAAGGGAAAGATTTTAATCAAGTTCCTTAGTATTTTGGTATTTGATTGTTTGTAATGGCAGTAGGCTTATGTAACACGAAAAACCTACATAAAACCATCTGAAAAATAGCATCATATAGAAAGTTAAATAAATTGGATGCACATGTGGAAAAACTTCCAAGAGATGCCTGTGCTTTAGTCTCTACAAAGCACCCGTGCAGTTCAACGGGGACACACAACCACCCTCTGTATGTGCACTAAGGCCTGCACTGATTCACAAGTGTCTGCTTTAAAAAAAGAGCATTAAAAACACACACAGCAGACAAAATGAGTGTGTGCTGTGCATCTGAATCTGTCATCTCACCACGGCAGTGCACACAGGAACATGTGGAAGAGGGCAGAATGCACACAGAGGTCACATTTTTAACTGCTTCTAACATCTCTCTGAACTAAGGAAAATCATTTTAGCTTCTTCATGTTGTTCAGCATGTTAAGGAGTCTTTTTCTGGCCTGTCCTGCTAAGTGATGAGGATGCTGCAGGGTTCTAGGCTGGTGTGTGTGTATATGCACACGGGTACGTGCTTGTGCTTAGTTTTACCTTGTTTTCGCAGCTTGGACAGCTACAGGGTCCTTCAGGTTCTGTTCCCAGGGCAGCTTCCCACACAGCCATTGCAGCATGCAGTAGCCAAGGATTTCAAGGTCACCTCGTCTGGATGGGGCTAAAATGTGGGAAGGGGGGAAAGGGATAAAAAAAGACAGGGGGGGAAAAAAAAGATGAAGAATAAGAACCTCTTCTTAGGAAATAGAAAAGACTTTGACTGAACTTGTGTTGATGAAATATGAAAAGCCAAATGGGCAAAGTGTTTTGTTTATTCAGCTGTATTAGACCTAAACCGCCCCGGCATTTGGCCACAGGCCACAGACAGGCAGTGACTTGTTGCTGTTGAAGTAAGGGTCAGTTTCCTCACCTCCTCCAGCTTCATCCTTCCTCAGTCTGGCCTGTCACATGGACTTGATCCCCATGGCCTCTGACATGATCCAGACAGCCCATAACTGAGTACCAACACTTTCTCAAAGAGCCAAGCAGTAAAACAAAGAAATAAATGTCTGCTGCTAAATTGCTAACACATGTTCCAGGAAGTCCATGGGGTCCACATTGGTCATGCAGGGACCCTGCGAGTGCAGACTAAACACTGATGGCCTTTCCTGTTCTCCTACAGAGCTATTTGAACTTGGAAGATATGACAAAACTGCCATCTAGTGTACACTTACACACCAAAGTAGTCTGCTTACAAGCACCACGAACTGTTTGTTTAGAGTTGGAGCACAAGCTAAAGTACACTTGCTGCTTAGCAAGTCCTGTGTAAACTTACTGCTACTGCTTCCAAAAAGGAAGTTATCTCAGGAACAACTTACTCTCACTTTGCACGCCCCAAACAGATACACTAACTACAGAACAGATATACAGTAGATATCATTCAATCCAAAATTAACCCCATCCCCAAACATCTTCTGTGCAGAAAACCAGGTAACTGAGGTTAATCCATAGATTGACTTTTCCAAGAGAAAGAGAAGAAAAAAGTGTGATGCTAGAAGAATTACTATTTCTTTCTGCTATTCAGAGGAAACCAACTTGAAAGACCTGAACAAGCAGGATTGCTGCTCTGTTTCTTTGTACACATCTGACTTGCAGCCTGCAGTGTGCAAGTCAAGACCACATGGAATCTGCCAAACCAGAGGCCGTTCACCGTGATTAAAGACAGACAGAGGCAGAAGTTCAATTTATGCTTTTCCAAACTGAATTTGCACTTTCCAGGAAGGAAAGAAGATTTCAGATTCGTTCAGTACTTTTTGTGTAGTGTAAAGACTAGTAGTCGAGCGTGGTGTTGTTAATCCAGCTGTAAACAGATATCATATTTTATGGGCCTTCATTAAATACACTCCAGAAAGTCACTCAGCAAACTTATCTTTTAATTTAAGAAGTCATCTGCTAAAAGCCACGGGGCCAACACATCATAACTGCTTCTTGTTACCATACACACATTATTGTAAAAGCAGATTAGTTCTTCTCCATTCTCTATCTTAACTGCTATTAGACAATGGGATTATTAAAGGCCCTTCAATCTAACAGAATGCTGCACTGTCCCTTGGGTGTCATCTGTTTTCTGCACTAGATTCAGCAACATCCTAATGCAAGACTTGGCTCTTGTATTAAAATAAAAACACAATCTCTACCACTTGCTGTTCCGTAGTGATTTCTTCAGCCATAAATCTCCTGTTAACTGTGGAACAATTCCATTCATACACATGTGTTCACAACTCCCTTTTCCATTATGGCAATTCCAGATTATGACCACATCAGCCAGCATTTCTGATTGCAGATCCCCTAATTTTCACCCAACACTCTCCTGGCACCTGTTTGTGCAGGACAGGCTACAGAAAGTGGCCTTTTGAGGTCCAAGACAGTGGACCACCTTTTTCCCCATTGAGGGACTAACTGATAGGAACCTGGGACTGATGCTGAGTGCATGAGTTTTCAGAAGCTTACCCAAGATACCTCATTTTCTGACAAAACAGTCCCCAGAGAGTAAAGTTCCCTTCACAGTTTGGACGTGACTAATTTACCTCCTCGCTCCCGTGCAGACCTTCCAGCCATTTCCTGACTAACACCAGGGCAAATCCACTGCAAACAGGGAGATGTGCACAACTAAGACTTTACTAATACCTTCCTAAAGCCACAGTAGTCAGCTGGGGGAAAAGAAAGAGCAGGTACATGTAACTAAGCCATACATCACTAAAAAACAAAAGGGGAAATGTTTTACAGAGAGATGGAGAAAACCCGTGTCACTTTATCTCCCAGGTCACTGCAAGTGTTACTACACACAGACGTTCACATGTGGTTTTCATAGATAGAAACACATGAAAATGTCAGTGTTTGTTTGATTATTTGACTGTACCAGCTTAGTCTTTCTCTCTGCTGCTTTGTCAGCTTGCTATTAGAGATGCTACTTCGTTGACTTTTGAAATCATTTAGATCCTTATTACAGAAGAGTTCAACTAACTAATCGTTAAGGAATTAATGTTATCTCTGAACAATGGAATCATTCGATTTTCACCCCAAATAAAGCACTAATACATACATTTCAACTACATGTCTACTTGCAAAAATTAATCTGTAATACAGGTGGAGAGTACAGAACTCCTGATAAACATTCAGGGAGAGAAGTCAGTCTGGTTTCACTTTACATGCGACAGCCATGCAAAAATGAAACGATTCTGCTTTATAACTTGTCACCATTACAAGAACAAACACTCAAAACAGAACTTATTTAAATCAAATTCTCTTACTTCTCTGTAGGTTAAAGCCTTGTTGGTTTTTTCTTTCTTTTTTAATAGATTTTTGATTTCTGCTTTTCTATTCACCAGATTTTACTGTTTCAGTCTCATGTGAAACCCTATTTAATGGCAGCGTGTTGGTGATATTTCATCCCACAGTATTTTTATAGTTTAATTCTTTAATTTGAAGATTTAAGGCCTGATTCTGCCCTCGCTCCTGCCAAGATAAATCAGGAACAGCTCCACTGAAATTAACTCATTAACAACCACGTCAATGAAATCAGAGTTGGGCCATAACTAGTTTTATATATACCACAACCATACACTCAACGGGCAGGAATGGGGATCGACGATAACTCGGAACCACGTAACTGAAGCAATTCACCCTGAGAAGAAAATATATTATGTATTCCATATAGTGGATTTGGCAGCTCTCAGAGCCCTAATTTAGATTCAGATTACTAGAGATGATGAATGATATCACACTGGCCACAATATGCTCTCAAAACTACCCTGCTCCCCAAACCTCATCTGAAACCCATGTGAAAATGGGAGTTTTCCTCTCCAGCCCTTATTAAACTAACTTTCTCAAGCCTTTTAAAGGGATCTAACGAGTGACAGATGAAATGTTCTTCTATTATTTTTAATTAGCACTGTTACATTATAATTTCACCATTAGCGTTTCTTTAGATTGGAAGCTTTTCATAAAAAGGATCATTTCAGTTGCTCATATTGCATCTACATGCAGTGGAGCCTCCAATTCACACTGGCATTACAGCATACAAATTCATGTTAATTCACAAACAAATACAACTCATACCCATAGCCATTAATCCAAAAGCCCATAAAGGAAAGGAGTGTTAACATGACCATGGAGAAATACCATTATGTTAAAAATGTATCACCACGATGTTTTAATAAATGAACTGAAAGTGATATAATTTCTTAAGGTTGAGGTTGTTAAAAAAACCCAGACAAACACAAGAATATCAAAACTCGGTGTCTGTATTAGGGGCAGGAGAAAAGACTAAAAAAAGCTAATAAAGTATTGTTTCCTCAAGGAACTGGTCAGACTGAGGCGCTCACTGCAGCAGGACACTGGCTAACTGAATAGAGTGAGTGGCAACAGGGAAAAGGTTAGGTGAATACAGTTAAATTTACAATGAATTTTAGTGCTTGGAGGCCATCCTGTGCAGAGTTACCCAGTCACAGGCAGGGCAGCTGCCAGCAGGGGCTGGGAACAACCTCTCCTCCCCTCACGTACAGTTCTGCACCGTTAGCTTGGCACGCTGCTGAAGTACTCACTGACAATCACCACCACCACGGAATGCTGGAAAGGAAAATCCAGTGCAAACATGGTGTCACCACAAGTGGCCAACAGCTCTCCCAGAGAACCCAAACTGGGATGTGGCAATGAGCAGCTTTTCCTGTGCCAGCTGTGGTCTCCCTCCTAAACTCGGATCCCACAGATCACTCAAGGGGTGACACGACTGATGGGCAGGAGTTCCTGCAGGGGTCCACATGGAGGATGCAACCATGACTCCCAACACTGACCTCACCTTGGTGGTCACAGAGGTGTCCTGCTGACAGTATCAGCCTCACAGCCCTGAGGGGTCGCATCCTCTCAGGCAGCACCAAAGCTGGCAACCAGCCTGCACATCAGCGCCTGTGTCAGACACAGGATGCAGTCTCAGCACAGGGGTTGGATAACTCGCTTCAAGAGCCACAAAAGCTGCCACACTACTGCTGCTCTCCTGCCATGGCCAAGCTCATGAGCACACCGAGACCTCAGCAGGTCTTGCAGGCCAGACGTTCCCAAACTGTGACTCTCAAACCTCCTCAAAATAGCAGAGCTTTCCTGGACAGTCACAACTGTCTAATGTGCAGACATGGCCCAGCAACCTCCAAGCAAGCAGTTGCACATATCCACTGACCAGCAGATCTAACTGCGGAGCCTCCTTGGTTTTACATTTCCTTTGCTGCATCCTTAACAGAGGAGTGCAGCCAGCAGCAGGATTCTCCTCTAAACATGGACAGAGAGTGAATAACCATCAGGAGCATGGTTATTCACCGGTGGAATGGGAGGTGCTGAAAGGAAGAGGACTGGAGTCCTGATATGGTGGGAATGAGTTTATGTAGAGGAGAGGTTGGGAGATGCAAGGGAACTTCAGCATGACATCTGGTGGAAGATAAAATGGTGGTGTCAAGAGATGCAGGTACCTGGTCGGAAGTAAAACGTTCCAAGCTTGCAGTAAGGAGAATGTGTGGCAGGAGAGTGGGGACAGGAAGTTTTACTCTTCTTTCACATCTGTGTGGCAGAAAAGAAATCACAAAGGTAAGGGGCTGACAGGTTGGGGCTGGCGAGCAGCTGTGAGATTCCCTA